ATACTAGGAATTATTTTGCCTCTAACCTATCCGATCCAACATTATGTTTGGTTTATAAATTATCTTTTGATCAATTTCAAACAAAATTTTCTTACATATAATTGTTAAAATTGTTGAAATTTCACATCTTTTAGACGGCGGCGTGTTCATATGTTACGAAGACTATTGAGAATTTAATCAAATTCTCATTAATTAGTTATTTTATTATTAGTTGTTAATTAATTTTAGTCTAAATAGGTTATTACTTTGTTAGAGTTAATTTATTACTTAAATTAATTGTCACAAAACTTTACTTACTTTGACAAAATAGATTTTTTCAAAAAAAAAAAAAATCAAATCTATGAAAAAATAAGAGAAGGAGACAAAATAGAGAGGAGAGAGAGGGAGAATGGAATAGGACAATTGGATTATTTGTATTAGTTATCCTCGGAAAAAAAAAAAAAAAAATCCAGCCCCTTTTTTGATGGAGATTTTCTTAATGCCAAAGTCAGGTAACGAAGGATTTTTCTTTCATGAGAGGGTGAAAGAAAGGGACAACTCACGCGCAGGTGAGTGTGTGTCTGACACGCGCTAAGGACGCTCCCCTCAGACGCTCCCTCCAAAAGGGTCTGGGTCTGGGTCTGGCTATTTTGTGGGATGTTTGTCCCGTGGAAGATAATAAGAATATGGGAAGTTACTTGTCCTGTCCGGATCTGTTGCATCTTACCTTATTTCTCCCATGCAAGGGGGATAATTTTACGGTATCTAAAAAAAAATATTATTGTATCGAAAGTTATCATTGTTAATAGTCAGTCAAACTATATATTTTAAAAATAAAGTTATAATTATTTGAAAAAATTTATCGATTATGAATTTTTTAAACAATTGTAGCTTATTTTTTTACGATTTGTAACGGGATATTTAAAAATTATAATTTAACTTTTAAAAATTCTTAACTTTCCTAATCAATCATAAGATTTTGGGATCAATTGTGTCATTTTATCAGTTATAACTTGCACCTAAACACCTTTTTTCTTCCTTAGACCTTTTAATCTAGTCACATATAAAGGTGTGTTTGTTTTAGATATTAGGAAAGAGGATCGGAAAAAATAAAGTGTGGGTTAATATCTAATTTATCAATATCTAATTCAGTAAGGTTAAATTTCTTATCAAGTTTTTAATCATAAGTAATGTAGCACAATCTTTATCAATGAATATTAATAAGACTCACTTATTTGATGGTGAAAATTATGTCTCGTCATTTGGAAGGAAAAACTTAATATAAAAATATTAGTCACCATAACATTGTTGTATCTGGTGTAAGTCAATTTTTTAGTGTTTTCTTTATTTTTTTTTTGTCTGGTTGTTTTGTTACAATACTATAAAGATTAGAATAACTACTGAGTACAAGTTGGTGCTTAGACTTATAGGAGAGTTGGGATTCCTAAGGTGTCATTTCCACCACTACTATTTAGGCAATTAAACCCATTCATGAATGCCCAAAATAAAGATTGGTTAGGTGTGTAACTTCATTCTTCACCATGCATCAAAGGTAGATGGATGAGGTAGTTAGTTGTTGCTATCACCACTTTTGGGACCATAAAAATGATAAAAAAAAAAGCGTGGAATGAATTTTTTTTAATAGTCACGGATATTCAAACTAGTTTGTGCGTACATCGATTAATCTTTTTTTCGGTTCAGCCAAAAGTAAGTCATTCATTTTAAAATTAAGGTATTTATAAGGGATGAATTCCTCATGACTTGACCCTAAAGAATTGTGAATATTCAAAATCAATACATCTAAAATTACATTTCATCCCTATTACCACTTGAAATACCGTTTATAGTGTCTACATATATGGTAAAAAGGAGATTAATACTCTAGTTACCGATCTTTAAGCCAATTTACCATNAAAAAAAAAAAAAAAAATCAGATATGTGTTTGATAAAAAACATCAAATCTGTGTCAATATATATATATATATAACCAAATCTAAACCATAAAAATCAAATCAGATCAAAAAAAAAATTCAAATCTATGTTTTCGCCTATTGAACTAGATCTGAATCAATCGTCGGAGAGCTCTAGTGTTTGTGTTTGTGTTTGTGCGTGTGTGTGTTTTGCCAAAGAAGGCAGTTGTCGGAGAAGACACAGTCCATCTGAGAAAGTCTTTGGAGAGAGAGAGAGAGTGATGAGAGTCTTGGAGAAAAGGCCAAAGAAAAAAAAAACTTTTATATTACGACTTATTTTGCTTCTAAGAAAATTCGAAGGGAAGACCTCATTAAACTTGAAACACAAGTCATTGTATTTTTTAGTTTTTGTAGAAAGAACCTTGAAAACAAGCCTAAGCTTTTTTTTCTAATTTTATGCTTCAATCACCTATTTTTTTCCAAAAAATAGGAGAACAAAATCTCAAACCAAACAATTTCTAAAAAAATTTGAGATTTCAGAACAGAAAACAGTTTTTGGGAATCAAACCAAGCAGTCCCTCTATTTTTGTTGATATGGATTGCATCCCCTAAGAACTCGGCTTGTCAACATATGGGCCTAATTGTCAAGCCAATGGGTAGCGATATAGGCCTATTTACCGTGTTATAATTGGGTTGACCCATCAAACCTACGAGTAAAAAAATGAAAAAATTAGAAAGAGGTATATCAAATTAGACTTAATTGTAAAAAAATATATAGAAATTTTTTTTAATAATTAAGTCGTTAATTTTGATACTTATTTATATCTAAGTCTATTATTTGAATTTTACTGATTTTTTTGTGATATTTTTGTCATTTATTAATTCATGTGTATTTAATAAATCACTTTTTTTTAGAAAATAGTGCATTAAACATCTCCTAGTTTTATGGGAGAACTTTAATATATATATACACATATAAATACGTATATGTAAATACGTATATATATATATATATATTTGTTTGAATTTTAAAATTTGTATATAAAAATGTATATGTACATAAATTATATTTTAATTGCACATTGATTCATGCGTTATATATATATATATATATATATATATATATATACACACTTATGTATGTATGTATATACACTTATGTATGTATGTATATACTTGTTGTTAAATCTCTTATCTGAATTTTCATTAATTTATGCATTTTTTTTTAGAAAAGAGTTTTATTTTCAAATTAATTTAATATCTGAATAGTGTAATAGTATAACAATAACAACGTAACAATGTAACACTAACAGTGTAACAAGCTATTTACGCAAAATATTGTACTATTATATTTTGTCAAACATATAATTTCATTCAAAATAGTTCATCTCCGTTTTGAATTTGTTACCATATACACAAAACTACAGAATACTGTTTTTGTTATAGTATATTTGTTACACTTTTTTTTGTTACAGTGTATTTGTTATACTGTTATTGTTACACTATTACATTATTCGGATATTAAATTAATTTAAAAATAAAATCATTTTCCCAAAAAAAAAAAATGCTTGAATCGAGGTGTATTTAATATAATTTGAAAATAAAATCACTTTCTAAAAAAAAAATACGCATGAATTAAAATGTATTAAAGATAATTCAAAATTTAAATAACAGATTTAACAAGTATATATATATACACACACACATATTTACATGTATTAATAAATATACATGAATCAAGATGCATTAAATACGTATTTATATATATATTAACAAACACACATGAATCAATGTGCATTAAAAATAAGAGATTTTGAATTAAATAATTCTAAAATGGATATTTATGTCTTTGTAACTCACATTTTATTCTATATACTTTTTGTTAAATAAGTCTAAATAGGTATACCGACTTCCAAAAAACTCTAATAAAAATCCGATTAGATTTTACATACTAATAGAGAAATATACATTGTCTCCTTTAACTCTACTCAACGTCCACTTATGAAATGTCAATATTTTCTTATCAAATCTCTTCAAATCGTGTTGGGCAAAACGAGTTTTTATTAAATAACATTTCATACATACCCAATGTGTTTATTAATTTGTGTCTAATGAGTTGTATTATATCAAATTTTGTGTCATGTATCATTCATCTATAATTGATATAAGAGCAAGTTGTATTGTGTATTTCTTTTGATTAATTTTACCTACATCTTAATCGTTTATCAATCGTGTCGTGTCGAGACCACTCGTTTGCAAAATAGGTGGATTACAAAAATTCAAAACCCTCTAAACTCGTCGCGATATTTTCATTCCTACATATAATTCTGTGTACAAAACGTTTAATGATTAGTGCTGCGCTTGGTCCCATACATACTTTCCGAGACTGGCTGGGTCTCAGATGGGCTAAGCCCGTCTCATGGAACACTTGGTATGTCACTCAATCCACGCCTAGTTCATAACTAGTGGCACAAGCTTTGGTGCGGGTAGTGAGGATGGGCCGCCACTGAAAAGGAGAGTTTTGGGCTCAACACAGGCTCAAAACACTGACACGTGATTCACGTGTTCTGTGACTACGACCTTTACCGACCTTTTTTTTTTTTTTTTTTATAGTTAGAAAAATGTGGGGCACCTTTAAAAAACGAATGTAATTAAATTAAAATATTATTGACTTGCCATCAAACGCGTGAAACCATAAGGTTCGCTTGTTATTTTATTTAGAAACGAATTTAGCTAGCATATTATCGGCTGTGTATATTATTTTATTTTTTAAAATTTAAATTATATTATATAAATTTTATTTATGGTCAAGAAGAATTAGCCCAATTTATTGATGTTTATTTAACTACGAGTCTGGTTGGTAAAATCACGTGTCAGAGTGTGATATGAACATTTTCTCTACAAAATACACACACTAACCAAATACTCGATCAGTCACTCTAGCACTCTTCGTAATCTGTCTCGAATAATACAAAGGAGATAGAGATTACCGGTTGCGTTGCAGCAAAATACTGAGAGAGAGAGAGAGAGAAAGAAGAGAAGAGTCTGTTTGTTGCGAACGGAAGATAATCGGTGCTCCGATACCGGTTTTCTCTACACACACACACATATATATATATATTGGTGTATGTATTGTAGGGGTTTTGTTGGGCGTTTTGCTGGAGATGCACCTTTGTTCGGCAGTAAAGGTGAAATTCTTTTCTTTTCTTTCGCTTCACTGTAAAATCTTTTAGGTTTCCTGAATCTCTCCCTGTATATCTATACACACACAAACACACACAACATAGATAGATGTATGCGTATATGAATGTACGATTAGACGTGTAACCTATATATATGTGTGTGTGTGTAGGGTTGAATTTTAGGTTCAATTGATTCATGCGTTGCATTTGGGGTTATTGAACTGGTGAATTATGAGACTTTTTTTCTTTGGGGGCAGTATCTACATTTCAATTTTCAATTTTTCAGATTAGGTTTCATTTCTTTATACCATTTATCAAGAAAGTTTATTTTTTTCCTACCCAAGAGAATTCTTCAGAATATTTTCCTTTCTGTTTGTATGTTTGTAAATGAATGTTCATGTCAATTTAGGTCCCCAATTACTTTGCTTAACTTGAAATGGGTTTTGCATTCTTCTAATATTTGATACAATTTAATTTTTTTTGGGTTCAGTTATTACCCACAAGTCAACCCACATACAAAACAATTTGTGTCGTATCTCAAGCGTCCGTTACTCTCTTTCTTTGTCGTTGGCTTTTTTTCATTGTGTGTTGGAATCTTGCATGCTTTTGGTTCTGCTAATTTTGTTCTAAGAAAAATTTCTATTTGATGGGGTTTACTGGCTTTATATCGAATATATTATTTTATGTTGAGTTAAATACGATTCATATACTAATAATGTGCTCAAACTCATCTCATGTATGCGAATTGTAAGTGTGTTTTGGAGGGTATTCCGATTTTTACGGAATTCCACTTACCTTATGTATATATATCTATATGCTCTAATTCTGCATTCGCAATGTTAAATCAGGTGTGGAGGCTTGAATAGATTGTTCATTGGTGGATTGTGTTTACTATTCTGACGGGTCACTTTAGATGGAGACTCGTATAGATTTCTTGCGATGGCTTCAAACTGACATGGCACTGAATATCCTAATGTTTCTAGATGATCCAGCTGATCTTGTTCGTGCTAGCGCGGTCTCGTGCTTCTGGCGCCATTTTGGTTAGCTTCTGGCACCATTTATATTGTCCATGCATGTGGTGGTTAACCAGTACATGTATATGGTTTTATTCAAGCTTTTGGATGTGCATGAATGGAGATTAGTTGTGTTGAGTTGTTAGACCTGTATTCCCATTTCTGGTTTGAGAATAATTTTGCTGCTGATCTAGAGGATTAGGCTAAACCTTTTTTGACAACCTGCAGGAATGGAGCTTGAAATGTGGTTGTTCAGGTTTTTTCTTAAGCTTCCTTGACCTCATCGTTCTGTTCTGCCAATTGGTGGGGAATCCTAAAATTGTGCAATCAGCGAAATTTTTTCCAGCACATCCCTACATATTCCAGTTAGCATAAATTGATTCCTTGTGAATTGATGGGTATATATGTCAGTAAAGATATCTTTTTTTATCCGAAGAAGAAGTGAATATGATGACCTAGACATTTGGACTAACAAATTAACTTGTCAAGAATATTACCTAGAATAATAGTATTAGGAAGAGGAGACTGTTGTGAATGAGTCTGTATATCATATTCAAGAAATGTAAGTTGAGAATTACCATTTAAGGTACTGCTTAAAGAGAAGGAAGAAAGGACTATAGGCGAATATGAACAAATAGTGTTCTAGGTGCTACTTAAATAGAAGGAAGAAAGTACGGTAGCTGGTAGGTGACTGAAGCCAGTTTAGTTGGAATAAATGTCCATGCCATGTGTAATATTAACTGAGGGGTGAGGAGTCGAGGATGGATTTCAAATTAGATTTTGTGAAGTTCAGGATGATACTCAAGATACTGAACGGTAGAATGATTTGTTGTTGCATTTTCATATTCCTTGATATGAAATGCAAAATGCACATTCCTATCACCACTTCAATTTAGTGTGAAGTTATTTTAAGATATGAACATATTAACATACAAAACAGTATAAAAGTACAAATATATTTTTTATTTTCTTAATAGAAAAATGTAATTGCTTACCTAAGAAAAAGAAAAACCAATGTAATCACAGATACAACAGTTTGTAGACAATGTTTCCTTTTTACCACGTGATTTTCCTGGCAAGAGTTTTTACTGGTTGCACTCAATATTTGTTTTCTTACTTCTGAATATTGGTTCAATAACTTTGTAGATAATACGTAGGTCATGATGGGTACTATATGTGTTTTACGTGTTTGGTGGCTACATGGGCATGTTAAGCTAGTGGTATAAATGTGGAAGAGGCGTCATTAACATTCTGTATTATAGGTTTGGTAGGTTGGAAGGGNTTTACATACTAATAGAGAAATATACTTTCTCTCCTTTAACTCTACTCAACGTCCACTTATGAAATGTCAATATTTTCTTATCAAATCTCTTCAAATCGTGTTGGGCAAAACGAGTTTTTATTAAATAACATTTCATACATACCCAATTTATTTATTAATTTGTGTCTAATGAGTTGTATCATATCAGATTTTATGTCATGTATCATTCATCTATAATTGATATAAGAGCAAGTTGTATTGTGTATTTCTTTTGATTAATTTTACCTATANTTCAATAACTTTGTAGATAATACGTAGGTCATGATGGGTACTATATGTGTTTTACGTGTTTGGTGGCTACATGGGCATGTTAAGCTAGTGGTATAAATGTGGAAGAGGCGTCATTAACATTCTGTATTATAGGTTTGGTAGGTTGGAAGGGAAACCAAAAGGTAATGCTGAAACTTATGATGATATCATCTTTTTTTGCAGTGATTGCAAATGGACTTTGTAAGCAGCTGTGTGTGAGAATGTTTCCACAGCTCTCCAGTGTTGCTCATGTGATTGAAACTAGTTGCTGCTGCAAAGCAAAAAAATCGGTTGGTGTTGAATCTAGCAATCTCATGGAATGGGAAGCTCTTGAGAGGGATCACATAGCCTATGCTCCTCTATTTCGAGCTCTTACAGGGTTTGCATTAAGTGATTGCATAGCAGGTGCAGTTGGGGCTTCTAGCACTGATAACTATCCATTTGAAAGCATTGCAAATACTTTAGAACCAGGGGACAGAGTACAACGGAGAGCCTCATACTGGTCAAGTAAAGGACACCGTGATCCTGCTGCACCTGAGACACTACTATACAAATTAAGTGCTGATCTTTGTGTGATTACTCAAATAAATATACGACCCTTCCAAGGTAGTGGTTGTGATTTTTCTGATTATTTTGAACTCTTCTAGCTTGTTTTTAGTTGATGGTAAGCATGGTCCTCCATCCAGCTTATTTTCAATTGGGCCATCCCATATACTCTGCAAAAGCTGTGCGATTCCGATTTGGTCATGCCAAGTCCCTGGAGGATATAGAGGGTGATCTCATGCATCTGCCATTACTACAACCTGCTGATGACAAGTTCATATGGACATACACGTCAATAGAGTTTCCAATGGCTCAGGTGAGTTGTACCTTGGTATAGCATGTCTGACCTAACCTTTTCTTTATCAATCACTAAACTGTTTT